GAAGCAAATAAATTTTCACAAAAAATTGCCAGTATTATGGCTCCCTCCTGTAGTCTGAAACAGACTGATGACAATTTGGAGAGGCCCCCATGTGAACTCCCACCCTCTCTCTAAGAAAGGTATGTATTGCTTCAGGAAGGACCTAAGGGAAAGGTCTGGGTAGGTGAGGGGAAGTTCACCTGGCCAGCCCACCAGGACAGTCAAATCTACCCTGCTGAGCACTAAGACAGCAGAAGTCACTGCCAGATGGCCCTGAGCTTCTCCTAAAGGTTATCATCTCAACAGTACAAATACCATCGACACTCAGTAACATGTCTGCCTTTATAATTAAGTGTATTTATGCTGAAGATAATATTTCATGTATCAACTCACCCCTGTGCTCATCAGAAAGCCACCTTTCTGAAGATCTCTGCTATGATGTACCTGACACATAAGCAGCCCTCAATAAATACTGCTCAATGAATTAATAAGCTTTTAAGTAAAAAACAGAGTATGCCTGATGGAAGCTGTTCTAATCTCAGAAAACTTTTGAGATGCCATAGTATTCTGACATCTAATATTAGTTTTCATGCAAGGAATAGTCTGAGGAAATAATATAAGAAAGAATATATAGGTGAGAGGTTTTGGCAATATGGGGAGGAAACATGATTTTTTAAAAAGTTTTATTTATTTATTTCTTCCAAAAGTGAGAGAGACAGAGAGAGTGGCACCCCCAACAAGGTCTTGATGTCATGATCCAGCCCCAGCCTCAGCCAGCTCCAGGTCCCAGGCGCACACATGCCTGGTGAGCTCAGGAAGGTCTCTACATGCAAACCCAGAACCTTCCCATGAAAGTCAGCCTCAGAGCTTTGTGTTCCACTGCTGCATCACAGTCTGGTCTTCAGAGTATAATTTCGTATTGAAAAATTACGCTTTCTTGGTATGACACTGATTTACAAAAGAAAACTTCTATCTTGCTCGTAATTGTATTGCTGCTGTCAATTAATTACCACCTTCTATTTTACTGAGCACCTAGTACATGCCAGGCCTCATGCCAGGCTCTTTGTATGTATGACCTATAATCACAAAATAAAGGGTAGAATATGTTATCTGTGGAAGAGGCTTATACTACCTAAATAATTTACCCAAGGTTAATGCTGCCAAAAAGCTGAGGCAGTATTTGAACCCAGGTCCAGCCCTCGCTCCATCCACCCTGCCACACTCTCCCTACTGTGTCATAATACTGTTATCCAAAGGTCATCTGGACACTGAATTAGGCCCAGGAGAGAGAGTAAGAATATGCTTGGCTGCAAATGGAGAAACATCCTCTTCTCCACAACAAAAGAGTAATGTTTTGAGGGAACCAGCAGTTAGCGTAATGGCTATGTCGCTGGATTCCCACGTAGTCGACTGTGGTTCGTGTCCCGGACCCGGTGGCTTAAAACTCACGCCAGGCGCGTGTGCGTGCGTGCCCAAGATCCCGAGAGGAGAATGGAGGAGAAGGGATTGCGGCGTGACCATCCCCCCTGGGGGGTGATTTCTCGC